CGCGGACCGCTTCCTAGACAACATGGTGAGTGTGGCTGTGGGGCAGCGACGGGATGGTCTGAAGGCACCGCGCGCGGGAGCTGCGGGCTGCCCGGGGGTCGGTGCCTGACACAGCCCCCGACGGCCGCCTCCAGTTAGATTGGCTTCGTCCCCCAAACTAGTGTCGCTTTGGTCTGGAAGACTCGCCCCGGGTACCTCCCTCTTGATGGCACTTGATGGGAGAACGTCCCGTCTGGGTCGCCCGCCGCCCCCGTAAAGGCAGGGAGCTTTCACATTGACCACAAGATTGCAGAAACTAAAGGGTCTCCTTTTTCTCAAGTGATGTCGCTTTCCCAGCTGGGGTACCCCAGAGGACCTCGTCCGCTCCGGACGAGCAAACACTTCCGGGCACCGTCTCCACGCCCTGTGACTCGCTGCTGAGTCACCTGTGGCCAGTCCCGGGACCTTCCAGCTGCAGCTGTGCACCTGGGAAGGCGAGCTCCTCTGTAGAAGGGACTAATTAACCGTCAAATCCCCAAATCCAGCCTATTTCTAGTGTCCGGTGGCATATTAAGTTAAATGAAACAGTCCATAAAAGCGTTTTAAAAATTAAGCTAAACTACCACTAACAACTTTTTTTGAGATGGGGTTTCTCTGTAACAGTCCTGGCTGTCCTGGAACTCAACTTTGTAGACCAGGCTGGCCTCGAACTCACAGAGATCTTCCTGCTTCTGCCTCCCAAATGCGGGGCTAAAAGTGTGCTCCACCAACTTCCCAGCTATATTTTGTTTTTTAAGACCCGTCTCATGTAACTCATACTGTCCTTGAAATGACTCTGGCCAAGGATAACCTTAAATTCAAGACCCTCCTATTTCCAACTCTCAAATCCCGGGATTAGTCATCTAGCTCAACACTGGGATAGTTCAGTTCTGAAGAAACAGGGACTCTGGGTGGGGGCGGGCAGCCTTTAATCGAGGGCTCTGAAGGCAGAGGCAGGAGGGACTCTTGAGTTACCAGGAACTAAGAGCCAGCTTGGATGAGGGTGGCTAGTTTCATAACACTTGAGGGGCTGAAGCAGAGGGGTTGTTCATGAGTTTTGGGGCTTCTCAGTCTCCCTAGCTAGTCCCAGGCTAGTGTGGGCTACAGAGTGACTAATCAAAGGAACCTTCCATTTGGGAGAGCATTTGCCTAGCCTGGAAGTCACTGAGTTCCATCTTTAGTTCCCTCAGAAAAGAAAGTAACAAAATTGTAAATAACTTTAGCTGTCAGGAGAAACTTAAAAGAAAATCTCATCAGCATTGTTTTTGAAGGGTTTAGTTTCACAATTCAAGGTGCGGACCACCTTTTGATCTAGCTCCTTCCCACGTGTTTCTCATAAAACTGTTAAGGTCAGTGGGTGGTCGTGCATGCCTTAAGTCCCAGCACTAGGGAGGCCAGCCTGTTCTACAGAGTTTCTCTGTAGTGGAGGATGACCTTGAACTGATGATTTCCTACCTTGAACCCTAGGACTGGAATTACTGGCATGTGCCACCAATGAAAGGTTAAATAGACTGAGCTGGGATAGAGCACAGAACTTCACACGTGCTAGGCCAGACCTCTCCCAACTGAGCTAAATTCTCCAGCCCCAAAAGCTGGTGGTGTTTCTTGTTTCACTTATGTATGGGTGTGGCTTTAGTATTGTCAGTATGTTGGGGGGGGGCGGGTTGAGGCTCTGCAGTAACCCCCTTCACCAATGATCCAACTCTCTAAGGAACTTTTTGTTACAATGAGTATTCATGTTTCAAAATTGTATTCTGAAAGGAGGGTTCAGTGCTGTAGTTACAAAAGTAATTAACAGCTGGCTAGAGTGCCTTTGACCAAGCAAAACCAAAAAGATACAATCCGGAAAAGCCCGAGGCTCACCTGTTAGGCAAGCACTGTTTAAGTGAATGGCTTTTGAAAGTCAAGCTGCTCATCCAGTTGAGGCTGGACTGGACTAAGTGACTCATCTGCCTTTCCTTATCCCAAGCGGTCCTAGACTTTTGTCTTTTTAGCTTGCAGAGATAGACTTGTTTTTTTACGATTTTTACATTTATCTTGGGAAAGTTGGTTCCCTCCTTCTAAGTAGAACGATTGAACTTAGATCATCCAGCTTGGCAGAAATTAGCTGCTCCAAGCCATCTTGGCCACCCACAGAGGCACTGCCTACTGACAGGGGCACTGAAAGGCTGCTGGTGGAACGCACTGGGTCTCAGGCACTCCTTCCTTAGGCCTGTATGCGGCGCTTTCTAGATTCAGGGGACTGTGGAGGTCATTGGAACAGGAGCTGCACCTCCCCCACAGTCCACAAGGCCTGAGACACTGAACTCAGTGATGTGGTCTGAATCCTTGATTGCTTTATGGGAAAGACAAGAGGAAAGGGCATGACAGGTCAAAGGTTGCCAGTAATGTCTTGTTTTATTATCCTAGGCTGTGAAACTGATTGTTAGAGAACCTACTAAGGAGATGACATGGCGTTCTGAATGCATTTTTTTTTTTCTTCTTTGTATTTACTTTGGACCTCAGCTCATAGACTACTTCTGCAATCCAGGATGGGCCTTCCCCACCTTCATAGAAATACTTGAAGGAACAGGTGGTGGTGGCTCACTCCTTTAATCCCAGCAGCACTCAGGAGGCAGAGACCGGTGGATCTCTGAGGCCAACCTGGTCTACAGAGTGAGTTTCAGAATGGCCAGAGCTACGGGGAGAAACGCTGTCTCAAAAAGAAAAAGACAAACAAATAAATAAAAGCATGAAAGTCTTTACTACTTGAGGAAAATAGTAGAAACCGTGGGATTTTTTTTTAATGTCAAATATAATTTTGGCCAGATCCCAAGTCTCATCTCACACTGAATTATGAGCCTCTGTTCCCTATCAGTCCTGTGGTCCAGGGTCTGCAGTCTTTGCCTCATTTGACTAATCGAATATGGGTTTGGTAACTTCAGAATTACTGTGTTCAGCAAGGAAAGGAAAACAAGTGTTCCCCCACTGTTAAACCCTTGTAATTACTTTGCCACAGTGCCAGAAATGTACAATATAATCTACTAGGGAACAACTAATTTCTCCATTTTTTCCCTCATTTTAAATCCTGTGGTAAGGTTTTGGGAGCCATCTGGCCTTTATAGCATCCTTCTCTCTCACCAGATGGATTGACAGTGGAGGAAAAATGTTCTCCTTACAGATTAGAGTCTTCACTGGGTGGAAAGGCTGCCTCTGACCACACTTCTCTGTGAGTCATGGGGCTGGTTCCTCTCCTTTAGGGAGAGGAAGTTTTGTCTCCTAAAGAACTGGATTAAAGAGGAACCACAGTGAGCTCAGGAGTGACACAAGTCAACATGACTCAGCTCTGGAAGGAAGGACTCTGCCTCAAGTTAAAGAATGCTTCAGGATCTGAGGAATCCTGGCATAATCTAGTGTGCTGTTCTAAAGTAGAAAACTGATCCTGAACTATTAGGGATACAGTCAGTGGAAGGGCCTGGCCTTGTCTAGTAGGTCATTGGCGTTAATGCCTTCCTGAGAGTATCTTTTCCTTGGGTTAGTAAGTAGATCTTTTGGTTGTGAAATGTAGTCCTAGGTTTGTCATTTAGATGTGAGCCATCCCTTAATTCCTCACTTATCCTGTTTTGACACTTTTCTTTCACTTTTCCACAGCGTGAGTGCATCTCCATCCACGTTGGCCAGGCTGGTGTCCAGATCGGCAATGCCTGCTGGGAGCTCTACTGCCTGGAACATGGCATCCAGCCTGATGGCCAGATGCCAAGTGACAAGACCATCGGGGGAGGAGATGACTCCTTCAACACCTTCTTCAGTGAGACAGGCGCTGGCAAGCATGTGCCCCGGGCTGTGTTCGTAGACCTGGAACCCACAGTCATCGGTAAGTGGGCCAGGGGCTTCCCTGAGGCATTCTGTCCTGGTCACATACTCAGAACCTCTCCACACACCGCCGAAGAGTGAGTGAGCTTGTGTGTGTCAGTTACTGTTGTGAATGGTTGATTTCATCTCCTTTTCCAGATGAAGTTCGCACTGGTACCTACCGCCAGCTCTTCCACCCTGAGCAGCTCATCACAGGCAAGGAAGATGCTGCCAATAACTATGCCCGTGGCCACTACACCATCGGCAAGGAGATCATTGATCTTGTCTTGGACAGAATTCGTAAGCTGGTAAGTGCAGTGGGCTATGGGGGGAGAGGGTTCTATGCATGGTTCTACCAAGATTTGAGGAATTAGCTCATTCATTGAGGACACTCACCTGTCCAGGTGAGAACCAACAAGATTCACCATCCCATCCCCTGTCCCTGTCTGTGAGACACACACACACACACACAATGAAGACTGTTAAGCCTCTTTGTTTTAAGCTCAGACATTCACACTCCTTAGTCACTCAGTAGGTGGCTGACGCCTACTTGTGACTAATTGATAAAACTCATTTGGAAATCTGGACAGGAGTTTCATGCTAACAGTGAAAGATCATAGGTTGCAGCTCATTCATAGAGTAGTCACCTGGCATTTACAGCACCCTGGCTTCAGTCCTCAGCATAGAAGGAACAAAGATTCAGGGCCCGTGGAGCCCACATGACACCACTTAGAAATAGCCTACAGGGGCTGGAGAGATTGCACAGCAGCTGAGGACTGGCTTGCTTGTCCAGAGGGACCTAGGTTTGATTCCCAGTACCCACATGGTGGCTTACAACTGTACTCCAGTCCCAGGGGATCTGATGCCCTCTTCTGTAGATCATGCACGAGTGCACACACACGCACACATAGAGTACATAGAAATACATGTAGGCAAACACCACACACATAAAGTAAAATAGGAGCCTACAGAAGAGTCTTCCAACAAAGCTTGAGGTGTGGAGTCAAGAGATTTCTTACTGGGTAGCAGGTATGTCATTTGAAGATCTAAGATCAGAAATCCCAGGGAGGTGATTTCCTAGCAGTCAGGGCAGTGAACTGGCTCTGACTGAATAGAACTAAGCAAGTCTAGTCCTATCAGGAAAGCTGGTAAGTGTGTGTTTTAATGAATCATCTAATCAGATGACCACTCTGACCACCCTTTGTGAGGCTTATAAGTGATTAACAGAAAGTGTTCAAGCCAGCCCAGCTGGAGTGGCTTGCTGGGAAAATCACATTATGCTAAAAAGCCATGGCTTGCCTCACACTTCCATTGGAATTGGGTTAATGAAGTTTAACTACACTGACTTGGATAGATATTAGGGCCCTGCCTTGAGGGGTACAGAAACCTAGTAAAAGCCTGAGATGATTTCTACTGGAAGAATTAATTGTATTTGACCTTGGTGCCACTGAGTCTACAGGCTGAATAATGGATGTGACTGACAGGGACCTGCCTGATCCTCTTGTGTGTAATTACAGTGTGGACCTATAAGATGAGAGAACTGAAGGATTAGTAAAAATGTCTGCAAACTTAAGAGTTGCAATGGAATACTTTATCCGAAAGGTCACAACTTAGGGGTAGGGACGGGGTCTTGTAGTAAGTCTAGTGTGTACAAGGTTCCATCTCCAGGACCGTAGAAAAGTATGGAGGTCAAATTTGGCCTGCTGTTTTGTAACAATTACTAGTCAGAGTAGACCAGTTGAATGGAGCAGGGAGCTCCAATGACCCGAGGTCTGGTGGAATGCTGATTAAATAATGGAATCACCTTGCCAGAATGAATAACACCCTCCTGCCTCTCACCCCCCAACACCACAAACTTAGTGCTTCCTGTGCCAAGCATTATTCTAAGAACTCGTTTAATTTTCAGCCTCAGCTGGGTCACTACTCTGATTTAGTGAGATAGAGAAATTAATTTGTCCCACACGAGAAGGTGGGACCCACCCCCCACCCAGCCTGCCACTACCCAGGGCACTGAAACTTGGTCATCCTGTGTTCCAGTTTAGATGTTTCACACAGATCTGGCAACGTGTGAGGTCTGAATCTGGCTGGCCCTCAGTAACTCCAGCTGATGACAAAGGTGCCCTTGTGGTCTGATCCACAGCAAGGTCACTAGAGCCCGCCTTCCCAGCCTCTAAAGCATGCTATGTGTCTGTTCAGATCTAATGTCCTTTAAAATCAGTTTTAGGGAAGTCTGAGTGACTGAGCATTTCGAAGCCTTTCATAACTACTCTTGGACTCTGGAACTTTATTGGTAGTTAGTCACAGACTCATAAACACCCACTGCAGCTTCTACATAGATGTCTCTCAACATTAAAATGAGCTTTTCTCTTACAGGCTGACCAGTGCACAGGTCTTCAGGGCTTCTTGGTTTTCCACAGCTTTGGTGGGGGCTCTGGGTTCACCTCCCTGCTGATGGAGAGGCTCTCTGTCGATTATGGAAAGAAGTCCAAGCTGGAGTTCTCCATCTACCCAGCCCCCCAGGTTTCCACTGCTGTGGTTGAGCCCTACAACTCCATCCTCACCACCCACACCACCCTGGAGCACTCTGATTGTGCCTTCATGGTAGACAACGAGGCCATCTATGACATCTGTCGTAGAAACCTCGACATTGAGCGCCCCACCTACACTAACCTAAATAGGTTGATAGGTCAAATTGTGTCTTCCATCACTGCTTCCCTCAGATTTGATGGAGCCCTGAATGTTAACTTGACAGAATTCCAGACCAACCTGGTACCTTACCCTAGCATCCATTTCCCTCTGGCCACATATGCCCCTGTCGTCTCTGCTGAGAAAGCCTACCATCGCGTACCATCCAGTTTGTGGACTGGTGTCCCACTGGCTTCAAGGTTGGCATTAATTACCAGCCTCCCACTGTGGTACCTGGTGGAGACCTGGCTAAGGTCCAGAGAGCTGTGTGCATGCTGAGCAACACCACAGCCATCGCTGAGGCCTGGGCTCGCCTAGATCACAAGTTTGATCTGATGTATGCCAAGCGTGCCTTTGTGCACTGGTACGTGGGTGAGGGCATGGAGGAGGGGGAGTTCTCTGAGGCCCGTGAGGACATGGCTGCCCTAGAGAAGGATTATGAGGAAGTTGGGGCAGACAGTGCTGAAGGAGATGATGAGGGTGAAGAATATTAGCCCATGTGCTGCAATTTTACACTTCATTGTCTTGTGTTTGTCTTTGTATGTATATGACTGTCTTACACTATCAATAAAGGTGTTTCCATATTAAGTGGGAAACTGGCTTTTGGTTCAGCTTCTTTTCCCATTCTGCCTCGAGATGGCATCTTGCCATGAATGCTGTCACTGTCCTGATTTGAATCCTATTGATGACCCATTTAGTGGGCCCAATTGAGGCTAGTGATTAGTTGACCATTTTCAAGTACCTTCTAGTGTTCTGTGCTTACTAGTTTGTTTCATTATGCATAAGTCTGATTTAAAACATTTTGTACTTAGACCACAGGTCAGAGTCCCTGTCAGTCGATCTCAAATGCGGTATCGTGTATAGCTATTAATGTGCAGAATGACTGGCTCTGAATTGGAGCAATGCTTTACTAGTTACTAGAGGACTTTTTTTTTTTTTAAGATTTATTTATTGCCAGGCGTTGGTGGCGCATGCCTTTAATCCTGGCACTGGGGAGGCAGAGGCAGGCAGATCTCTGAGTTCCAGGCCAGTGTGGTCTCCAGAGCAAGTGCCAGGATAGGCTCCAAAGCTACACAGAGAAACCCTGTCTTGAAAATCCAAAAATTTATCATGTTTACAGTGCATGCCAGAAGAGGGCACTAGATCACATTACAGATGGTTGTGAGCCACCTTGTGGTTGCTGGGAATTGAACTCAGAACCTCTGGAAGAGCAGCAGTCAGTGCTCTTAACTCCTGAGCCACCTCTCCAGGCCCAACTTGTTTTTTGGCTTGGGTTTTTTTTTTTTGGGGGGGGGTGGTTTCAAGACAAGGTTTCTCTGTATAGCTTTGGAGCCTGTCCTGGAACTCTCTGTAGACCATGCTGGCCTGAACTAACAGATCTGCCTGCCTCTGCCTCCTGAGTGCTGAGGATTAAAGGCGTGCGCCACCACTGTTAAGCATGGTTGCTGGTTGAGGAAGGCATGCTTGACTGAGTCAGTGATCTTTTAGCAGGTTGTCAGTGTATGTGTGTACTTTTCCTTTATAATAGATTGTGGTATATTTGAACCCTGTAGCAAGCAGTGTTGACAGCAGAAAAATGTTACTAGAGGCCAGGCTGTGGTGGCATACACCATTAATCCCAACACCCAGCAGGCAGAGGTAGTAGACTGATCTGAGTTCAAGGCTGTATAGAGAGTTCCAGGACTAGAGAAACCATGTCTTGGGGCCAGGGGTGGGTTGTGGAAGAGAGTTGGTGGGGTTTCTAGAGACCACACTTGCGACCCAGACAATCTAGGCTCAGCCAGCAGTCCTGCTACACCAGGTAATAGGGTTAGGGATATAGCACAGATGGTATGTACAGAGCTCCAGGTTTGACCCTCAGCACCACAGAAGAGACACTGGTGCACTGCCTGTAATCCAGCACTGGGGAGGTGGAGAAACTCAATGTCATCCAAAGCCTGAGAGACCTTGCCCCAGAACATCCAATGTGCCCACATTGGGAAGAGGAACAAATACATGGGTGCAGTGAGGGGTATTGCCAAGGTCTTAGGTTTAAATAGACACAAGTGTGGTTTACCCTTTATTGACTGGTCAACACTGTCTCAGCTCTCATCAGCTATCAGGGTGGTCCCATGAGTCATCCAAATTGTGTGGAACTGGAATGGGAGTTCTTCTGGCACCAGGGCATCAGGCTAGCCCCTTTCATAGTATGGCAGAAATGTAATTCTCTGGTGTTGTTTGAATAGTCTGATAGACAGGAATAGTGTTTCTAGACAATCTCTTGCTATCATGTGAAGAGGGCATGGATACTGCAGTTGGCTGGCTAGTTTAACCTGGTTTCAATTCAGGCACTAGTAGTGTTGGTAGGTTTTGAACTAAGCAATTGTCAAATGCAGAAGGAACTGGTTTTGGTGGGGCAGAGTTGCTGGCATGGCCACCTTTGCTCAGTGAGACCTGGTTACCAGGTTTCACCAGGCAGCTTTGTGTGCTTTACCTAGGTGTACAAAGCCTTGTGAGAAAGGCCTTAAAAACTGTTCAGGTGCTGGGCGGTGGCTCATGTCTGCACTCCTGCACTGAAGGCTGAATCCAAAGCTAACCTGGACAGACTTCTAGTTCTAAGCCATTTAAGTGAGAACTTAAGCGTCCACCCTCCCATCACCCTCTCCCACCGCCTCCACCACACACACCAAAAGTATGGCTTGTTGGTTTGTAACTCCAGCTCCAGAGAATCTGATGCCCTCTTCTGGCCTCTGCAGGCACTGCGTACACACACACACACACACACACACACACACCTTTTTTTAAAAACCCCAACACGTTGTATGAGGCATGTCTGTGGGCACAGCTTAGCAAGCTTTTCTTTTTCTTTGTCTCCACATCTATCTCTGCCTGAGACATGTCAACAGCATTCCTATGAGCAGCTTCTGTGGTTTGTGTACTTGACAAAAGACAAGACTGCTGTTGGGCCTCAGCTGCAAGCTGAACAGTGACCTATCAGACTAGTTCTTCCAGAAGCCTGGGGGACAGGTGGGCGGGCTAGCTAGGATGACAACCAGATGTTTGTACTGGCCACAATGTGTGACTGGAGAAAATGGGAGAACCAGGTATGAGGAGCCAATACATCAATTTCAGGCTAGCCTGACACCCCCAGCCTACCTGGAAGATTCATTTTCCAAGCCTGCATTTCCCATTAAAAGTGCCAGGCAGTGGTGGCACATGCAGATTGAGTTGGAGGCCAGCCTGGTCTACAAAGTGAGTTCCAGGACAGCTTGGGCTCTTACACAGAGAAACCCTGTCTCAAAAACCAAAACAAAACAAGTGTCCCAAGAAAGTACTCAAAGGCCCATATGTGGTCCCCAAAGCTTTCAGAAAGACCCGGTGGAACCTGAAGGGCCCATCCCCTCCTCCCCTCAGCATCGCTGGGACCCCTAGCTACGAATAGCCCTTGCTAATTCCCCCCCCCCCAGCCTTTTGGATGAGGCTTATACATGAGCCAAGATGTGAATTGTTGGGGGACTTCCAGCTGCCACTTAGCTGTGGGGTGAAAAAAGGTGAGAGAAAGATAGCTTAGCTGAGGAAAAATATCTCAGAGGAAGAGCCCAGGGAATTGAAGAGCAAAGTGCCAGTGGTTGGGGAGGAATCTGTCCTTGTAATGATAATTTCCCCACTCCTGTGTGGGTGGGAAAGTGCATAGAAGTTAGCCTGCAGCAAGAATAAATATACCCCAAGGTCCAAGTCACTGCTTTGTGGTGATAGCCATGTGATCTGCCCTTGAGCAAAAATGGAAAATCTGGTCTCAGGATTGCTCGGGAGGTCTGGTGGCATAAGTGGGCAGAGCCTAAGGTGGGCTTCTGAGATGGGCTGCGGCTCCCATCCTCTTTGTCTGGACAGGGGCTTTCGTGCCCTCACCTGACCTATGCATAGTCTCTGCTGCTCCCCACCCCCATGCTGGCCCTGAGGGGCGAGTGGGCTGAGGCAAAGCTCCCCCAGAGTGAGAAGAAACAGAAGGAGGAAGGGTGGGGAGAGCCTGCCTGTGTATTTGTGCACTCAAGTGTGCAAGCAGCTGGTAGTAAATGTCTGTGCACCAACAGAAATCTGTCAGGTCATGGAATACCTTCTAAGTTAGAAAGCTAAAAATCTAGCCTGGGGCTGGAGAGATGGCTCACTGGTTACGAGCTCTTGCTGTTTGGGAAGAGGACCAGGGTTTAGTACCCAGAACCCTCATGACAACATGCAATCATCTATAACTCCAGTTCCAGGGGTTTCTGCTGCCCACCATGGGCACCAGACACCCTTCTGTAAGTAAATACTCATACATGTAAAATTAAAAATAAGAATTCAGCCTGAAGAGACTAGTCTTCAGATCTCTGACTTCTGGAATGTTCTGTATGGCACCTCAAAGAGGTGGTGGGAAGAAAAGCTACATTCATAGCTAAAGTTTCAACATCTCAGTGTTCTTCAATGGGACTTCCAGGGGTTGTGATAGATAAAGCTTGGAGAGATTAGATATTTAGCCTGAGGCTGCAGAGGGACTAACACAACTACACTCTGACCCCACAACTCAGACTGAAGTGGCTTCCCAGAAGCACCTGGGAAAGTCACCCTTGTACCCGGCACTCTTTCCAGGTCAGGGGGACAGTGACATAACCTGGAGTGCTGGATTGGACTTGGGTCATTGGTTGTCACCATACACCCAGGAGTCCCAGGTAGCAGTATAGAGAGAGTAGCAAAGCCAGGAAGAAGTCAAGCACCCAGGATGAAGACCCGCCTCCCCCCCAGTGAGCAGGCTCCTTTTTTTTTTTTTTTTCCTTTTTCTAAATCTCTGAATCTCTGTGAGTAAATTCTCAGATCATGGGGAGATAGTGTCCTTGTGGAAGGGCTGCTGACTCCACCTGGATTCCAGCTGATACTCTGATGGGACACTCATGTCTGGAATACCGCCCCCTTAAACACTGGGCCAGGCTGGCCAGTTCTTGTCAGCCAGGGTCACAAGGTGGGGCATCCTGAGATGACCTTGGCAGATGGGGTTTGGGACATGTCCAGGAGACCTGGCAGCAGAAGCTGAAGGCCCTGTTTGCTTGTGGGCGGTGTGTGGGGAAACCCGGTCCCTTTTGCTGTCACCACCCATTCCATTCTGGAAACCTGTGTTCAGGGTTTGTCAACCTTGCGCAGGTTCACTCCTCTCCCAGTGCTCCAGGAGTCTGCACAAGAAGAGAGAGGTTGCAAGTCAACATTTGGCAGAACTGGACATGTCTCCTTTGGGTGATGTAGCACAAATAATAAAAACCCAGATACAAGATGTTGGGGTTCAAGCTGAAGATCAGAGAAGCAAAGCAGCTGGCCACTGAAGAGTCCTAACCTCCATCAATGCTCAGACAGAGGGGCGATCCACTGAACCTCAGAATGCTCGAGACTGCACTGCTGCTCAGATTCACTCAGACTGCAAGGTGTTCCTGTCTCCTCCTCTCTCCACCCAGCCACTTCATCCCTGCCTCCACCTCCCTAGTGCTGGGATTAAAGGTGTGAGCTCTGTTTCTCTGTTAGACTGATTTACTCTCATGTAGCCCAGGGTGGCCTTGAACTCAGAGATCCATCTGTCTCTGTCTCCTAAGTC